TTTTTTTAAAAAAAATAATTTTATTTTAGTTTTTTTAGTAAAGTAATACTTTATTTATTATTAAATTAAAGTATAATTCAACTCCAGCTTCCGTTTCTAATAATGCAACCGAAGAAAAGCAAGCTCCCACTTTAGCCGAAGTGGTTAGAAAGTTGGACACAGAAAATCTTATCGAATTTTTGCGTGGGAAGGAAGACTTGCAACTTGACGAAGACGATTTCAAAATCCTCCGTGATGAGATCTCCGGACGAGATTACCTACAAAGATGAATTTCGTAGTTTGGGAATGAGTTTTGGACCTGCAACGAGACTTGTAGAATTCGCCAAGGAAATCAAGGAGAAAAAATTGAGGGCGTTTTTGTCGTACGAGAAGTGTTATTAAAATATAGTGATAGGGTGGAAGCCATTCCATTGTTCGAGCTTCCGCGATATGAGATTCAAGACAACGACCAGCATATTGCACATTGCATGGCAGATATTTTGTTCAGGATGAAGCATTACGGGTCTTTAGTCTTAGATAGTCTGGAATCCATGCGAAACGAATACGTATCGACTAACTTCACACAGCTCTCCATATCGCAAGAGACTTAACTAAGAAAGAATTTAGCATGAGACCAGAATACGAAATCATTGGTGATGAAAGTTCCGGACGAGTCGATTATGGAATCAAGGTTCGAGGATTGTTTATTTTTCATAAACGAATTACGGAAATCCATCATACGATTTTCCTGGGACTTTATATTAATGAATATTTATTTTTCAGGAGTCTGAAAACCTAATCTGCGTTACCGAAGATAAGGTTCAGCGTAGTATACTCGAAGGTTTTGCCCAAAATATAAAACAACTCGAAAGCTCGTATAAAACGAACAAGAAAAAACGAAAGCGGGAAGACGATGATTTCGACTATCTCTACGGAATCGTGACATCTGCCAGGGATTGGCATTTCTTGCTTTACAGTCCTGGAGAGATCTCTCAAGCAAGTGAGATTCCCTATAGCATCGAATTCAACAAGAAAGCCTTGGAAAAAAATTCGGAGGAATATCACGCTTTACGTAAGAATGTAAAAAAGGTATTAGGTGTTATCGTTGGTTTGTTAAAGGATAGGGCGTGTGTTGAAAAATCGCCGGCTACAAAAAGGGCTAGGGTCGAGGGATACCGCGCAAAAAAATGATGTAATAGTCAGAGTCTGTACCCAACTTTGTAATTTATTTTTTCATTAATAAAGAAATGAATTTTTTTCACGCGTTATACATATCTCTGATCCGGAATTGCAAATCATTAGCTACATTCTGTTTCCGAAATCGTACTAATTCCAAATGAAAAGCGTTATATAGAAGAGGACGAGACGACAAGGGATAGTAAAATCCACTACTATGAGCCAAGAGAAGATCAAAAAATAACTATGTGCATGAACATCGCTCTCTCAAGGCACGTGAGTGTCGTTTCAATCAACCACACAATAAATTTAGGTATTGACACAGAATGAATCCGTATACTATTACAGTGCCGTAGGTAGTGGTTAAGTCCATAATGGATGTAGGCAATGGCATCCTTCAAGATCTAACCTCACCATCATTATTATTAACGGTATACACTAAAATAATACATAGCACTTTCCGCAAACAATATCCCAACTCCTACAAAAGAAATCGCGGTATTTGGCAACGTCCAAGTTAGGCCTCCCGCTACCGCCAACCCTATCCCAGTAATTATTGGAACGATGATAAATAACGCGTTTTGAAACCCATTAAACAATCTTTCTGTTATTGCTGTTATTAATATGATCATAATTTGGGTTCCAAAGAGAATACATAATTGGTAAAGGATAACATCTTGTTCAGGCTTGTAATTATTCCAGCATTTAATAAAATCTGAAAGTGGCTCCAGACATTAAAACCGATGACGGAAAGTAAGTTGATCACAGCATAAAGAAGATTGAGATAATGTCGCTATCGAAATAAATCAATTAAGCGACGCCACCACTAACATTTATAACAAGTCTCAGTGAAACTTAATGGCAAATGTACACCATCTAAGCAAACATACCGGTTTTTTCTTTTCTTCCGCAACTGCATACAAGAAATCGCTTCTTCCCTGGTCAGTAGTGATAGTGGCATACCTGGCTCTTTGGCGCCTACTCAAACCGTTATAGACTGCCAGAACCTGAGGATCAGTAGGGACACCATTAACAAAAGTATAAATAGACGCATCCATTTTTTACGGTATATTTTTTTTTGAGATCCGTGGGAATTGTCTCATCTGATATACGCACGATCAACTGGTCTTGTGACCGAAGTTCAGTCTCGTGACTTAATGATCAAGGTTATCGTCACAAGTAACCTTATCATGATTTTAAAATGTATTTTCTTGGCGTATGGCCATTATATGATCCGTATGAATTTAACTTCGGTACTTTATGCCGATATCTGCATAATAAAAAGATTTTGAATGATTATGTCGAATACTCAATCCAAAATCGATTCATTGAAAGAATTAAATTCGAAGCTTTTGGCTGAGATTTCTGAACTTAGAAAGGAGAATGCCAAGATCAAAGCCGAGAATACAAAATTGAAACAAGCTATAGAAGCAAATGCTGAGCTCAAGACCAGATTTAAGGAGCTAGAAAAGAAAAATAAAACAGATACCAGTAATCTCATTGCTGAAAATACTGAGCTTAGAGACAGTCACGAAATTAGGACAGAAAGCAGATACAGTACATGTATTAAAAGATTCTATTCTCCACAAAGCATCATCTGATATTTCTTTCAATATTTATACTCGTCTGAGCCTAAATCGTTAGAAAATAAAGAGATTGATAAGTTTCTGGATTTTAAAAGTAAGAAAAGAGTTAGTAGTGAGATAAAATAACACAATAGGAAGAAGCTTTGAGATCAAGGCCTATCTTTGGTTAGTCATAAAAAAAAGGAAACAGATAAACTTCAACAAGAATTGTTCAATACTTCTTTAGAGCCAAGTTTACAAGATCACTCTATTTCAACAAGAATTGTTCAATACTTCTTTAGAGTCAAGTTTACAAGATCACTCTATATCAAAAAATATTAAACCAAAATTTCTGAGATAACTCATCCTGAAAAATTTAAGAGTATGAATAGTTCTGTGAAGTATATTATTAATTTATTCAATATTAATAAGATATTATAATATTTAGTTCAGTTGTGTGATATATATAGTTATAGATATAAAAAATTAAATTTCAAAGACTAATCAGAAAGAAATCATATATTGATTTCTTTATAGTAGAAATTTTAAATTTCAAGTTAATAAGATAAGTAGTAAAAATAAAATTGATAAGAAAAAAATAAAAATCTTAATTTATAATAAAATTGAAAATTAACTCTATAATTTTCATAAAAAATAATCACAAAATTTGGACTTATAAGTTGTAAATATATTATAAAATATCTTGTACAAAAAAACTTAAAGAACTATAAAAACTTATAAGTTATTTGAAAAGATAAATCTAGATAAAAATTAAATATATTAAGAACTATAGTACAAATTCAATCTCTAAACTTATTAATAATCAAATTTAAGAGATTATTAATTATAATTCAGAGAGCTAAATCTTTAATTTTTCTTTATTTAAAATTATATCTGAAATATTTTCTGAAGATAATTAATTAAAATTTCTGGGATAGCTCATCTCAAAAAGAACTTTATTAAAAATCAAGATAAATATATCATTTATATTATGATCCAAGAAAAATTTACCAAAAGTAGAAGTAATATACTATTTAAATTTTAAACTAAATTAAAAATCTTACCTAAAAAATAGAATAATCTGATTTATAATCATGTTATTTTCTATTATAAAATATTAAAATAATATTCTGATCTATATTATAAATTCTTATTTTTATCTGGATCTAGTTATAAATAGAAATAGTATAATAAATATATAATACTTATTTATTATCTGTTATAATATATTGCAATTTCAAAATTTTTATAAGTTACAATTAGTTATAACTAAATAATACTTATTTATTATTACCATATTGTAATAGTTAAGAAGCTATCTTTAATTATAAATAGTTTAATAATGATAAAGATTTTACTGTGAATATGATAAAAATAAAGAAGTATGATTAGTAATTAATTCTCATAATAAAGTTAGAATAGTCTCATTTTTTTAGATTATTAATCATTTTTTTTTATAATTAATAATAATATAGTTTTATACAAAAAAATATGATTATTAGTATTATATCAAAGTAATTCTTGAATAATTATTATAGTATATATTAAATTCTTTATCTTATATATTATTATAGTATATACTATATTTATTTTTCTTAAGTATTTAGAAATTAAATTATAATCTTTTAAGAAACTTTTAAACTATTTAATCTCTAATTTATTTGAATTATCTATTTAATCAAAAGATATTATATGCTGAATTCAAGTAAGTAATTTACTAACTCTTTTTTAATTCTTTTTTATAGATCTAAATTTTCAAGAGATATCTAATTAATTTTAATTTTTTATATAATCTATTACTCTAATATCTATAATATATAAAGTTATAAGTTTAGCAGGATGAATATAAAGTATTATTATAATATCTATAAGAATTTGTAAGATAGATAAAGTAGATATATTATAATTATTCAATTTTTTTTAATTAATTCTAATGTAAAATAATCTGGATAGTCAATTTTCTTGACTTTCTTAATAAATTTTCATTAATTTTTTTGGATTTTGTTGGCTTTTTCTATAATTTCAAAAAATTTTGTAGTCTTAATTATTTCAGATAAAATATTAAGATTTTTTAATTTTCTTCTAAATCATAATAAATATAAAGAACTAGCATTAATATTTAATATTAATAGAGCTAAGATATAAGCTTTAGCTCTTATATCTCTAATACTAAGTTTATCTTGTAAAATCTGTTATATTATATTTTTAATTATTTCTTATAAGAAATAATAATATTTATAATTTTATTATAAAGTAATAATTTTTTGAATTTACTTTTAGACTAGATATTTTTCTAAATAAAAAATAAGACTTCTACTTGATCTTTACTAAAATTATATCTATTTTGTAAGATTTATTTAGTTATTTCTCTAATAATTCTTCTTTTAAACTTTTTAAAAACTTGATTATAGCTATTTTATAATTATCTTTAATTAAATTTATAGTTTTATTTTTCTTATTTTTCTAATTAAATATCAATATATTTATCTACTTATTACTAAATTTAAAACTATCTTGAAAATATCATCAAGCTTGATTTTATTTTTTATTATCAGTAAGATTCTTGAAAAACTCTAAGATATATTAACTAAGATTAAATATATTTATCTTGAACTAAGATTATATTTTTTTATAATTTTAATTATAATAACTGATATAATCTAATATTATAATAAGTTAAGTAAATATATTAACTGAAATTGAATATACTTATTTTGAAACTAAGTTTATATTTTTTTATGATTTTAATTATAATAACTGATATGATTTAATATTATAATAAGTTAAATAATATATAAATAATTTTTTAAATTATATATATTATAAAAAATATTTTTTTTAAATCAAAATTAATTATTTATAAATTAATATAATTATATTTAAAAATTAAATAAATTATAATTATTATAATTCTATTAGAAAATAAATATAGATAAGATATAAAATAGATCAAAAGTCTTGAAATTTATAATTTCTTTTTTTTCCTATTTATCTCTTAGAAAAAAGATATACATATTATTAATATATATTTATCTTTTTCTGACTTTAAATAATTATTGTAAGAAGATAAAATTAATAAAAATATTAATAGAATCAAGAAAGAAATAGTATTATTTAAAGAGATTTTAGAAAAAATAATTAATATATTAAAATATATAATATATATTAATATCTTAGATTTATCAATTTGAAATTTACTAATACATGAGATATAATAAAAAAATTTATAGTTTTAGAGTTGTAATTCAGATTATATTAAGATTTATAATTTATTTTTATTTTTTATATTTTAAAAATACTAGCTTTACTATAATACTTAAAATAAATTTCAATATATTTTTATACTTATAAACTATTTTTTATAAATATCTAATATTAATTAGAAATATCATAACTGGATAGAATAAAATATTTATGAATTTAATTTACTTAGGGATAATAATAATTAATTATATCTGATAATTATAAAAATTCTATTAAATTTTTTATATATTTAAAATTATTATATATTAGTTTATAAAATATTAATCTATTATAATTAATCTCTCTTTTAATTAATAAGTTAACTACTTTTTAAAGTATTTTCATTAAATATATAATATATATATAGTATTAGTATATTAATATATATATTTTTTATTATATATGATATATTTTCTTTATCAATATTTAAATTAATTTTTATATAATATTTTCTTATATATTTTGAATATTCTGTTATATTTGTAATAAAATAAAAAAAGAGTTGATATAAATTATCTTATTTATCTATATATTAAAATAGATAAGAGTATTTATAGATAAATTTGTACTTGTCTAACTGGATATGCTCTTTATTAGAAAATAAATATTAATAAATTATTAAAATTATCTTGTGATATATGTGAGAAACTCATATTATTTTATATAAATTATTACTCTAAATATATCAATAAATTTTATTATCAGATCAAAAAAAAGAAATAAAAAAATATTCTTATAGATAATTTATTTTAGAAAAAATAATATTATATTCTTGAATATTATAAAAACTAATATATATTAAATATTAAAATTTACGTAATATTTTTATGTGAAAATTTTATATTAACTAGTTTATAGAAATAAAAAATCTCTTTTATCTATAAAATTTACCTATTTATTATTTAATATATATAATAATCTTATTATAGATATCTATTTTCTTAGAATATTATTATTTTTTCTATCTATTTCTTATCATTATAACTTCTTGTTTAGAAATTATTATTATTTTTATATAATTAGAATATAATTTTCTTACTTATTAATTATTTTCATTTAGATATATCTATTAATATTATTACTATTTTAAGTTTATATATATATAAATATTTTAAAATAGTAAGAGTAACTATATTTATAATAATTATTTACTTTTATAA